CCTCAGACCAAACCCTCAATCCCATCCCAAACCCTCAACACCAAGCCCCCTCAGGGCCACTCATGGAGTGCTTTCATCCTATGGGGTGTATCCTGTCTTTTTTCTTTCAAATAAATCACTGATTCTGCTGCTTCTCTTGTACTCTTGTGCCCTGCTTAATTCCTTGTTTAGAACATCAAGAACCTGAACAAAACCCCCAATCCAGTAACAGTACCAAACAATTTCTATTGACCCTTTTACCAGTGCTGTTAACTTTGATTACTTAATGAAGGCACAAGATTTGTCCACTGTAGATTTTCAGGGGGAGGGGACATTATTGTTGTTCCTGCATGATAAAAGTATTTTGCAGAGTGGAAATGAAAGGCCAAGGGAGTTACTATTCCTAAGCAAGTTTTAAATCAAGCAGGACAAATTCTACTAAGCTTTGAGGTTTGGGAGTCATCCTCTGAATCTAAAGCTTTGCCCTTGGAGTTATTCTTTCTTTTTCTTAAAAAGGAAGGCATGTTTTCAAGTGGTCTCAATAGTCTGCTCCTGCCTATTCAATTTTGAGACATCTTTAGCTTTCCTTTATTTTAGTCCTATTCAGTCCCAGCTGACAAGGCTTCTGCTCATATAAAATTCTCAAAAAAATCTGTGGGTCTCCTGTATATGTCATAGGGATTTCTGTCATCAGATAAGAGGGTTCTTGAATATTTCCTGGCCAGTCCTATCTCTATTCCTGTCTTTGCTTATAGGGCTTGAAAGATCTGTGAGTCATGTCTAATCTCTTCAAAGGGTACTTTCTGTGATGAAATAATCTGGTCCTTTGATCTTTCTGCAGTACTAACAAAAAACTGTCCAACCACACACTCGGCTTTGACTTCAGGGCACATTTTCATCATCCAAATCTCATAATTTTAGTCCCCTTTGCAATATGTATTGACAGAATTTCCCAAATCATCAAATACTGATTTATTTTTCTTAACAATTCTTCATTTAATCCAACTGTTTCCTTACACATTTTATTATAAGCAGCGGGGGTAGGGGACGCTGCATTTTTAACTCTGCTTTCATTACTGTTTTCTGCTACTACAACTTTCACTTTCCAAAAAAAAAAAAATTCTAAATTTCCTTCGGTGCCCTCATTAAGAGTACTTCTAGCATTCATATATTTACTAACAGTCTGTTCATGACAATCATCTTGATATTTCCAAGATAATATAGATTTTATCTATCATGGTTCTCAATTCCTGAGCCATGATACACGGAGTCTTTGATATAAATATTTCAACTTAGAGTCTATTCAAGACTTACTGTGTAAAGTTTTTCTAGCCTGTACTTATCACCCATTCCAAAGACACTTGCACATTTTTGGGTATTTGTTACCCCACTCTCAGAACCACAGTCTATTAGTTTCTTATTACTATTGTGATCAATGGTCACAATCTAAGCTCTAAAGCAACATGAGTTTTCATCTCACATCTCTGATTACCAGAAGTCTAAAATGGTTCAACAGGAGTGCATTCATTTTAGAGGTTCTGGTGGAAAATCTCTTTTCTTAGCTTTTCTGGCTTTCAAGTCCTCTGTTATTCCCTGACTTATACCCTTTCCTCCATCCTCAAAACATTCCTATCCTCTCTGATTTCTGCTTCCATCCTTACATCTTAGCTCTCATTTCTGACTTTCCTTCTTCTTATAAAGGCCCTGTAGTTACACCTGTCCTACCCAGCTAATCCAGGATAATCTCTCTAAATGAATAACTTTAATTTAATCACATCTTCAAATTTCCTTTTACAATATAAAGTAACATAGTCATCAGTTCTAGGGATTAGGAGATGGGCATTTTTGTGTGGCTATTACCCAGTCTACCTCAGCCAGGATGTGGTCTAAAGTCAGTCTATTATTATCTATAATCACCCTCACAAAAAGGGTTAAAATAATTCATCTTGAGTTTGATCCCCAGTACTGAAAAAAAAAATTCATCAGTTCTTGGTGTCTTAGCCAATAACTACAAGAAAAGGGTATGGGTGCAAAAGCATCCCCCATCTTACATGGTGAGGCATTTCATGCCCAAACTCCTCTACACACAAACATAGAACCTGAAAGAGTCCCAGTCACTCGTTCAAGATTTTTTAAACTTGATTTGGATCACGACTACATTCTTCAATTCATAAAAACATATCACAGGATAGTTGCAGCCTCTATCTCCATATACTGCATAAGATAGCACTGCTCAGGCATCAGGAAAAGTATATAAATTTAAATTTTTCCAACTGAAATAATTTGTGCTGGACTTTGTTTGTAGCCGTTGATGGTAATAGGAACTGCAGAATAGCTCAGGACCAAGTCACTTTTGCCCAAGCTGCCACCTAGAAAGTGTACCAATCAAGATGACCTGGGCTTGCTGCTGGGGGAAAGAAGGCCATATCATGCTCATGAAAAGCCAGAGTGCAATCCTAAGTGTTCAAACAGAAAATCTATAGAATTCTGTAGTTTATTTATCTTAATCACTATTTAGGAGTGACAGAGAATTATAAATCCTTTCTTGAAACAGCCACATTAGGTGATCAAACTGCCCTTCTACATTGTGTGGACCAGGAAAAGATTAAGGGACAAAGGTTCAGACTGATTTTGGGGAATGCCATTCCATCACTCAGCAGTACTACAGATGGCAAGGAGCGCTGAATGCTCATTAAATGTCTACAAATCCATGGCTGGGTGGTCTTTTCAAATGATCCAGAAAGTGTAACACATGATACAGTTTCATTTTAAGGATCACAAAGGTAGGACTATAGTGGCCTGATTGGACTGGAACTGCAATACCATAACCTGAAAAAAAAAAAAAAATGCCAAAGCAACAAAGGCAAAAGTCGTAGTTTCAAAAGGAGGTCAAAGCTTCGACATAGTCAATTTGCCAGGAACAGACAGATGTAATGTCCCATGTAATGTGGCCTGCCTCACCACAGAACAAACAGGCCAAATCTTGGCAGTCACCAGTGTCTGCAGTGGAAGTTTCTGCATTACAAACACAACATGCAGACTTTAGTTACAGTGCCCAGTCAGAGATGGTGGATATGCTACAAATTCCGATGAGGTGCTAAAACTAAATAGCAATGATGCAATCTGAGCCCCTGCGGGCCTCATCAACTGCCTTATTCTAGTTTGCCTGACCAGAGAACAGGCCCTTACAGTGAGCACAGACATGAATGACCTAAGCTGTGTGATCAACACACACAATTTGTCTACACAGTTCATGGATCCAGAGAGAGATATCTTTAATCTGACAGCCTTAGGCTTTCAAGGGGCAGACCAAGTATCTAGGCCAGAGTGTTTGGGTACTGTCATCGGCAAGGACTATGGTTTGATTCAGCTGGCTGCTCGATTTGGCCTTTCAGAATTATGAATTGTCATTGCAGTCGGACAGTTGCTGCCACCTAGAGGACACCATATCTGCACTCAGCCCAAGGTTACAGAAAAGCCGTGGTGAATCAAGGACCCCTCTGAGCCAGAAGCTTTGCCTCAAGCAGTGAAGCAGGAAATAAAGTTTCTCCCAAGAGACAACTGTTAATTTTTCATGTAAAACTCAGTGGCATCTCAGATGCCACGCGAGCTGCACTCTTAAATATGCCATTTCCATTTGACAAGAGAGGTTTATTGAAGCCCTTCTACCTTGTTTTGTTGAGTCCAGAATAACCCAAATAAGAACATACATCCTGAGAGTCAGAGGCCTCCACTGGTAAAACTTTTAACAGAAACTTAATAGCATGTTAATAGCTGCCTTTAAGGAATAAGTGGGGGGAGGTTTGTTGGCTTTGTCAGAGAAGTGGAGCTATCATACCAAAAAATGGCATTCACAGCACAAGCATAGAAAACATCGTTACAAATTAAGCATTCCAGAGTGGAAACCACACCAGCATGTTGGATTGGCCCAGAAGAGTCACCCAGCACTGGAATAGGCCATGTTAGCATCCCTTCTCAATTTGCAATTGTTTCCAAACCCCTTGAATTCAGACATCAATTCCAGTGCAAAACAAGATCTGCAGCAACAGTCTCCAGACCCTGCTACTTTCCAGCTGTGAAAGTAGAGGTTAAAGGCTAGCAAGGGAGACTAACCTATGGTGAGAAATCAGGGAAGAAATGTAATCCTTAGCCTTTTTGTTTCACCTTTTTCAATATCTAACCCCAGAATCAGTGCCTAAACTCCAGCACTATTTTTCCCTCCCTAAATGTCTCCTGGTGTCTGGCAAGGACCAGGACCTAGGGTTACTTTTTTCCCCCCTTGTACACACCATTGCTATGGTTCCACTATGCTTTTCAGTAGAGCCTAGGAGACTCTTGCGCATAGCACCCATCCTTTCAAAGACCAAATTGAGATATGGCAAAGGCCAGGTATGTGAAAGCAGAGCCTCGGCACTATTACACAAGGCCTCTTCGTTCACTTTTCCTTTTGAGATGCCTCTGCTTATGGCTTCACCAATGTTTCTGGTCCATGTATATCAATGTTTTTTAGTTCCAGGTCTTCATTGCTGGAACCAATTGTTTGGTTTTGTAGACTCCTGGATCCGTACACACAGAAACACTGCCTATCAGCTGAAGACTTGATAACATTCCTTTTTCTCCTCAAGCCCCTTCCTGGTAGTTTGTTCATTCTACTTTTTGCATCTCAACGTCTAAGCACCAACTGAACTCTTTCTTTTAACAAATAGGACCATAGCAAAACTTCCTCCACTCTTACCTTCCATACATATATCCTTCCCTACCAGTAGCTGGGCAAGACCATGAGCTACCAGATCCCAGGGAGTTCTCTCACCTGTGTAAACCTGACTGATGAAAATCTTGCCCTTCCTCTTTCAGAAAGCCATGTCTCTATCATCAGAAAGCCATGTCATAGTTGCAATTTGATTTTAGACTATTTTTGTGAGCTTACATTAGCCTGTTACATTTTCACGGATGCTTGCAGAAAATACAAGACTCTTGGGTCAGGGATGACCGATTTGATTATTCACAGCCCAGCAAGCATACCTGCATATGCAACGTGTCATGCTGTAGAACAACAGTGAAATTCAGGAATCCACCACCCTTATAGTGAGCAGTAAATAGGCCTGATCTTTTTATCAGAGGGAGACATCATCTCAAAGTTGCTCACTGCTGATAGAGTCCTGAGAAGTCACCTGGGTAAAAAGAAATTGGGGCAAGACATGCAGAAGGATAAGAAATGTAGGAAAGAGAGTTTCTCCTAACAATGACCAGCTCTCTGGGGAAAAATAATAAGAACTTTAAAAGGCTTGCCCTGTAGCATTTCCATTTCCTGGTTTAAAAGCTCTCATCACAGCTAACTTTAGGTTGTTACTTATATAACATTAAACTCAGAATTGGGATGAGCTTGACATACACTATCTTGACCAACCAGAGGTAAGTCTTTCTTGAATCAATTATTACTATGATTGTTGTCCTTGACCTTAAAATGCATTACTGCGTATTTTGTTAAATGTACATGCAATCTCATGTACTATTACTTCCTCTTTTCAAAATGCATAACTTTCAAAATGTATATTATCACCTCTTCATAGTGTGTTTATATGGGATTATAAGAGTATCCCTTCTCCAAGGATTCAAAAATATTTCCAGAGAAGTTTGGAGAGGAACTTGGGCTGTATTTCTGGACAAAAGAAAACCCAGAAAATGAAACTGTTAAGAACTGAGATATGATTTCTCAAGCTCTCTGCCTAACAATAACTCCCTCATTTCTCTCTTTCTGCATCTTTAGTAAACCACTGAACCAGTACTTATAGATTTCTGAATCCATAGTCATTTTCAAGATTATCTGGTTTTAATTTTCTTCACGGTATTTACCACTGGTAAATTCCCTGGGTTCTGTTTTTTGCTTCTGTGGGTTTTTAATTTATTCAGTGATGGCTACAGAATCAAAAATAAGAATTCCTGGAGCTGGGATATAGCTCAGTGGTAGAGTACTTGCCTGGCACACATGAGGCCCTGGGTTCAACCCTCAGTACCACACATATACAAGAAAAAAAATAAGAATTTCACCCACCTTTTTACCATTGTATCCCCAGCACACCGAGAAAGGTGCTTAACATATGAAAGATCCTCAATAAAAGCTGGGTGAATAGCTGGACATGGTGACATACAACACTGCAATCCCAGCACTCTGGGAGGCTGAGACAGATCAATCACATTTTCAAACCTAGCCTAGGTAACTTAGCAACTTAACAAGACCATGTCTCAAAATGCAAAATAATAAAAGGGATTGGAATATAGCTCAGTGTGAAGGCCCTGGGTTCAGCCACCGACAAAAAAAGTAAATGAATGAGTCCTGATTGCAACCCCATTGTGTTTCTTTGCATTCAGTTGCATTTTGGATGGAGAGTATGGCAGATGACCAGGTGGCAAAATAAGCTCTAAATTTTTCTTCTTATAATTAAAATTTGATGGTTTTTCAGGACACTTAATATTCCAATGCTACCACTCCTATAGTACTAAGTAAAAGCAAATAAGCCATTAAACTGTCCATGCCTAAATTTCTCCCATTTGAAGTGCTGAAATGAATAAATAAATAAATAAAGTGCTGAAGCGGGGGCAGGGATTTGGCTCAGAGTTTCCGCTGCCTGCCTCACAAGCATGAGGGCCTGAGTTCGATCCCCAGTACCAATTAATATATAAATAAATAAAGTGCTGAAGGATCTCTGAAAGAATGGCTTCTGATTTTGCTGTCTTCTCTGGGCACATGCAGTGCTGGGCATATACCAAGAACTGCTTCAGTGTCATTCTGGGAGAAGGGATAGTGGGCAAATAGAGATAAAGAGCTATAGTTTTGCATTATGTCACCTATTGGAGACTTTAGAAATTCTGTAGATTCTTTGAAAGTAATTTTTCATTTTCTCTCTAACCAGGATTTAAACCATTACCCTGAGAAGCTCATCATGCCTCCATCTTCTCACTTAGAAAATGAGACTAAAAATACCTACTTTGCAGAGACATGGTTACAAGTAGATAACCTAAAGCAATGATTCTCAAAATGCAATCCTTCAACCCACAGCCCTGGCATCAACTGCCAGTTGGTTAACAGTCAAAATTCTACTGAAGCAGAAACTCTGAGGTTGTACCCTCATTCAAATGTGACTTGCCAAGTCTTCCAGATGATTCTCGTGCCAATTAAAGTTTGAGAATCACTAACAGATATAGTCACCTGACAGCTGTGGGCTCCCAGATGTTTCCTATCCACTCTTAGCTATCCAAACCAATTCTGGGTAAGCTGCAGAATTGTGTAGCCTCACCCTACTTGGCGAATGTGAACATGGATAGAAGGCAGGAGCAGACTCTACTCTAAAACCCAGACATAAATGCAGACTTTGCGATTTCTCTTCACCATTTTTGCAACTTGATTACATATTTAGATGTTATCTCCATATTTATATTTTTATTTCTCTTGTCTCTTTTTCTTTGTCAAAGAGTTGCCTTTGACAGACCACTTTATGCATACATGAGTAGCTAGCTGGTTATCTGCATGATCAAATGCTAAGAAAGCCAGCAATGCTTGGGGTTACTGGTTTCAGAATCGTTCTGTCCTGAGTACACATGCTGCAGGTAGCACTGGAGAAGCTAATCTGGGTGGAGCCTGGGTTTTTCATATGAAAAGTGAAGTTAGTAAGAATAAAACTTACCCTTATTGAGTGTCTTTTATGTGTAAAATATGAAGGTATTTTACATTTTGCATATGTATTAGCATTTTCAATTACTATAAAAAATATTTAAGAACGGGTAATATATAAGAAAAGATATATTTTTAATTCATACCTTTGTATGCTGCAAGAACCCACAAGGGTTCCTCAAGAACTTCATTAATTCTTCGCAGAGTCAGAGCCCCCAGTAACCTAATGACCTGGAACAAAGTCCTGCCTCTTAAAGACTCCACCACCTCCAACATTGCTACACTGAGTTCCAAGTTTCCAACACATATACTGTTGGGAGATATGTTCAAATCATATCCCACCCACAGCAGTCTACATTGTCCCACTTAAATCAAAGCAATCTTTTTTAAACATTTAAATATTTCGAGTATTTTCAGCATCATTTTGCAAAGTCCAAGACATATCTTATCTTTTTCACAGATGGCATAGATATTTGAGGGAACCAAATCAAATAACCAGGTTTTCAGCCAACTTTGTTAGAGTACCTAAGTTCCATTAAGGGTGCAATATCAAGTTGAAAAAAACCAGTTAATTTTGTTTCAGATTTTTTTTTCCATCGATTTCTTTGTATTTTCAGCATCATTTTGCAAAGTCCAAGACATATCTTATCTTTTTCACAGATGGCATAGATATTTGAGGGAACCAAATCAAATAACCAGGTTTTCAGCCAACTTTGTTAGAGTACCTAAGTTCCATTAAGGGTGCAATATCAAGTTGAAAAAAACCAGTTAATTTTGTTTCAGATTTTTTTTTCCATCGATTTCTTTTTTGGTTTTTTGTTTTTTGAGACAGGGTCTCACTATGTAGTTGAGACTGACCTGGAACTCACTTTGTAGCCCAGGCTGGTCTCAAACTCACCGATCCTCCTGCTTGGTTTTTTGTTTTTTGAGACAGGGTCTCACTATGTAGTTGAGACTGACCTGGAACTCACTTTGTAGCCCAGGCTGGTCTCAAACTCACAGCGATCCTCCTGCCTCAGCCTCCCCAGTGCTGGGATTACAGGCATGCACCACCACGTGAGGCTTCCAGCGATTTATTTTAATGGGCCAGCTAACAGACAAAAATTGAAACAATGTGATAACTGTCACAGCCAAATATACTGTATTCATATAATCCAGATCTAAAAACAAAATGTACAGAATTGTCAAATAGACAAAGAGTGAAAAACATATACCATATAAACACTAACCAAAAGAAAACTACTATAACCAGATTAAGTGCAACTCATTTTAAGGCAAAACTCATTAATCAAGAAGATCAAAGCATGATAACAGAAAATTCAAGTCAATAAGAAGATAAAATATATTCTAAATTGTGTGAGTTTTGCTTCAGATTTAAAAAAAGTGGAAATAACTTCTAAACAGTGGTCTCTCTGTGACTTGGTGGTAGAAAGTTCTTAGCTCATACTTAATTGAAAAGGCAAGTCACTGTTGAATTTTGAAAATCCTCGAAGAGGTTTTAAAGTAATTTAATGTAACATTTTATGGTTGCTTTTGTAGTTTAAAATTTGCAATGGATATCGAGGGATGTATATGCTTTCTGATGCCATAGATTTAATCAGATTTCTTGCTTGCTTGCATAATGGTTTATGGTACCTTTGATGATTTGCAGCCAACCTAGCACTCTTAATAATTTACTGTAAAAGCATTTAATTTTTAATGGACAAGAATGGGTTAGAGGTAACTTTTGCATTGGTAAATGCTCTCCTGAAGAGTGGGAAAAAGAAACAGTATATTTAAATTCCAAACATTATTGAACAGCATGAGTCTTTTATTACTAAAATCAAATGCATAATTGAAGAACAGACCTAACCAAACATTATCGTTCATGCTTTATTTAACCATAAGATAGCTTCACTTTCACAATGCCATCATGAAAACATTTTTTCAAATTCCCATCTTCCATACTGTCTTCAATATTCTGTCCCACTAGAAAATGCATAACTGCCACATTTTGTTATATCTCACTAATCATGAAAAGCCCGACAAAAGAATGGTTTGTAATGTCTGGTACATAAAAGAACTAACCTTTTATATTCATTTTCCTTCAAAGTTGTTCTAAGAGCTCCATATAATGTGCATACCTAGGAAAGATTTCACAACTAGTCTTAAAATATCTGTTTCCATGTAGAAAGAAAAATGGGAAGATGCCAGAATAAATATTTTTTAAGACTTGATGGAGGACAAAACATGTCTTGCCTTCAGAGACACATAAAACAAAAAATGTTGCAATTGCCAAATAATCCCTTTCTCAGATATGCCATATGTAAAAATAAGAATGGCTTCACAGAACTGCTTTCTGGGGAATCATCCACAGCCCTGGAAACTCTTCTCATCTAACATTCCACAGATGACTGTCCCCAAGCTTACCCTGAAATGGGCTACAGGGAAAAGTCTGATGTGGTCAAGGGTCCAAGTCAGTGTGGGCTCTGTTTCTGGAACACCTTTGGAATTCAGATGTCA